CGTATTTAAATATAGAAACGAATTTCGAAGCTGCTTTAACTTTGACTTTTCTGACTCTCTTTGTTCGCCGAGTCCGTCGAGGGATGGTGGGTTAAGGGATTTTATTTACACGGATAGTGACCGAGTCGGTATTTATTCGTGTGACGTAGTCCACGCGATAGATAAATAATTTACGAACACCCGCGATCCTTCACGAATAAAAGCCCCGTACAGCGGAGAATCATACGACTGGAATATTGGTACGTATAAATATGGGATGACTTCTTAACGATCTTCCTTTATACTCAATGATGCGAGCGTGATGCTAGCACTTCCACCCTTCAACCTTCCGACTGCCGTAATAAAATAGAGCCAACGACTACGAGTATAACGGGAAGCCACAGTAGCGGGTTAAACTGACACTGTATAGCAATCTATAAGTATGAACTTTTCTAAAGGCAACGGCCATTACTTTCCCGTATGGGCTGTTACAGGGTCGACGAGAATATACACACGAGTACGCGATAAGGGTGTTGTAAAATATTAACAAAGCCGTGCAAGGGAGAGAGCTTCGAGACTCGGAAGTGAAAAGGTCGATGAGATAAAAAATAAATAATAAAAATAAATACCTTAACATTTTGTTTTAACTCCGTACAAGATAAATAATAAGATGTTACAGTACCTGTATCTATCCCTAAAAACGCTTCCATACACCAACCCCGTTCTACAATAATATATGACAGCTGAGAACCTCTTTCAAGGTCTCTCGTCAACTCATCGCCGTAACTAAACACGGATATATTCGTTGGAGCAAAAGACAGCAGCATCAGGAGCATCCCCCCTCGCCCCCCTTCAAGTGCAGATTTTATTAACAGTCGAGATATTTGCCTGATCCATCTAACTGGATATTGCAGCAGGTTGCGCTTGGCTATTGTAAAGGAGGGTTGGAGTCGAGTATGAGGATGATAGGTTGAATAGGGGTTGGTTCGTTCACGGTAGACCCACTGGATTCTATACGTGCAGTATAGTATGGTTACGTATCATCTATGGACATGTACGTATAAGGCACGTATGTACGTAGCTGTCGGGTAGACATTACGCTATATATTTTATAGGAGGTTCAAGGGGTTGGAGAGGACGCGCATTGCATCCCCTCTTTTCGTAGTGGCTATAACATTCATTGATATATAGGTATACGGTTACGTGTTCCCGCAGACACATTCGACCCTACTTTAATGCAATGGGGAACCACTGCGCGTATAGCAACAGTAGTTACGGCAGGTAGAAACGGAGGGACAAGAGGATCAGGGAGCGAGCAGGAAATAGGAGGATGAGTCGAGGGGTGGAAGAGTAGGGAAAATAAAATGGCGACATGGGAATAGAGGATGGTTTAAAAGTGAGTGGAGAAAGGTGGTAGATAGCGATATACAGAGAGACAAGGGATCGTAGAGTGGCTGATTTTTCCGATAGCGAATTTTTATCCATTGCTCATATTTTTTTCTTCTATTCATCTTTTATCTTCTCTCTTTCTCTCTCTCTGCGTTACTAGCCACACGTGTATCAATCGCTGTTACTCTCTGTCTCTATTTAATACTCGCTGGTAATACCTTAATCTATTCTATGTCTAGCCATCGAGGCTATGTAACCACTGTAGCGTTGCGGATGAGTTGGGAGATTGTCAGTAGAAAAATCCCGTGCGAACCAGACGGACTGGATCGAGGGAAGAGGAAACCAATGTTCGTAATGAAATAATTAAATTTTTCGTTTACTTACAGATTCCTGGCAGCAGGGTGTAATTTTGTTTTCGGTTTGATTTTATTTACCTGCGACCGATTTTTGTACGAATTAATTTTACGTAACAGTGAGTTGCAATAAATATCATTTTCTGGTAAATAATGCGATTTATAGAATCTTTCGTGTATCTGTAACGTGATTGGTTTACTTTATTTTTAAATGTTTATTGGAAATTTTTACTTTATTATCAATTTGACAGGCAGCGATAAATTGGCAGTTTTGCCAATTAAGCGTAATAAAAATATCAAATTTATACTACTGTAGCGGCTGAAAGGTCAAACGGATTACATGAACAATGGGTAGTGATAAAATTGAATTCGCTAGATTGGAAGAATTCGCGTGAGTGAATTAATCAATTGAACATTGACAGATAACAGTGACGAGTCTCGATAAAGAAAAAAAAAGGTGTTAAATTTTTGGGTTATGATTATTAATTTTAATTTGTCGGTCCAAGTACAGCCGAATTAATTTACGCGGAATGAGATAAAGATAAGAGTAAATACATCAAATTATTATAATCCAATATTTTGCGAAACACGAAGAATTATTTTTGACAAAACAAAATATAAGCCAAATCGCGAGATGCAATGACGCAACTGTTAAAAATTAAGACTTGTCTTCAATGCGCAAAACCAATGTCAAATCAACCAATTGAAAGCAGCGCGTGAAGTGATACGAGTATAAAAGAAGTACCTACATAGACGATGACGTCGAGATAAAGAATTGCACGTAAATTGAGAGAACTCAAAAATAAGTACAAAAAAGCAAGAAAAAAAGCTACGAACCAAAAGGAAATAAAGATTGCGTGGGACGGATATCCGGGCCAATTTGTAAATCGGCACTTTTCACCCCCTGGAATTCTCGCATTGCGATTTACGAATCGAAGTCGCGCCCTGGTACATAGAAAAAAAAGAAAAGAAAAAAAAAGAAAGAAGAAAGAATAACGGGGTCGGCTGAGCGGCTGCTAAATATTCAATAAACGCGGATATTATTCCCGGCACGTCGTGGAGAAGATGGAGGTTCGAGTGGAGGACGATGTTCGCAAGGAGGAGGAAAAGGACGTGGGAGGACAAGAGGGTGGAGTGGCGAAAAAAAGAAAGAAAAAAGGGGAAACGATATAGAATAAGAAGGGGAGAGAGAGAGAGAGAGAGATGGAAAGTAAAAGGAAGAAATTCAGCTATTTATCCCTTCGTGCCCTGCCCTAACCCCTGATTTCTCTCTCTCTCTCTCTCTCTCCCCCCTCGAGGGGGATAGCTGGCTTCTTCTTCCCCTCGAGCCTATACATTCCATAATTTGCCCTTCACGACAGAATGCGATTTCTTATTCTATGCTTCCACCCTTATGCCTTCTTCTCTTCGTTCTCGTTGCGTACCTTATGTATCCCCTTACTTCCCACTCTCCCTCTCCCTCTCTCTCTCTCTCTCTCTCTCTCTCTCTCTCTCTCTCTCTCTCTCTCTCTTTCTCTCTCTTTCTCGCAACCCAGCAGCCATGAACAAGCCGAACCTTTGCCAATTCTTCCATCATCCACCCCCTTCCGCCCTTCTACGCGCACCATTCTTAATCTCAGCCAGCGAATTATTTCTTAAACCCGCAGCCAGAATTTGCCATTCTCCTTCTTTTTTTTTTTACCCCAAGTCCCATCCCCCTCGTAATTCCACGACGAACGGAAAAAGCGTCGCGGCGTGATTCGAATTCAAGATGTGCGAGAAACCCGCCATTTTTCCTCGACTCGCAAAAGCCAGGGACGACGAAATAACGGAAATTCTCATTGGTTCTCCACTGATCTCACACGTGTACATTGAGAGACTATTTTTTGTTCTTCGCTCGATACAGCTTAGATGCTGAAATAAATCCGAAGAGGAGAAAGACGTGCGTCGAGGAGTCTACGGTTGTCACCTCTCTTGCGTCAACTTTACGTACAAGCTAGGGGCCAACGGTTAAGAGCAAGCTTAGGGCACCCCTGAACCCCGACGAGAAACTCGTTCCAATTAAAAGCCTGTCCTGCTATTGGCATTTTATTACCTTGTTTACATATTTATTCAATAGCTAGAATTCCCCAAGGATGAGATCAGCCTAATCCGAGTGAGAGCCCTTACTGTACTGAACGGCAGGGAACCCTCTTTTATTTAGAATTAAGCACCGTAGACACCGAACGAACGAGCAACCTCACCAGGAAAAGCGTCAGTACGTAGGTTCGCCAAGAAAATCAATAAAATAAGAAAAAAGAAATACGTCAAGTAGTATTGTAATATAAGTACTTTATCTAAATTAACATCTTTAAATGAATAAAATTATTGAAATGTCATTTTCCAATAATCCGTTTATAGCGACTTTAATTCACTGCTGAACTCGAGTGAAATTGACACGTGCGTGGTTAGACTATTAAAATGACAATTAACCTATAATTACGTAATGTATCCCGTGACTAAAATCAAAAGGGCGTACGGATCAAAGGGGCTTGGTATCATGGGGCTTGGTAAATTACATAAAGACAGTAATAAAAGTGAAAAAAAAACCTACTTCTCAGATTCATACGCCTTTTTAATATTGGCAATCCAATGATATCGACATATAGATCCATCCTTGCGCTTTTATGGATACGTGCGAGAGTGGGGATAATTGCAAGATTTTTCACTTTTTGACAAATTTTTGTACCAAGCCGTGAGACTCATCGTAAATAAATGACTGATTCGCGAACTGTTACTCCTTACACGTTGAAAACATCGTACGGTCCATTTCCCAGACTCCAGTCCTCATGACAGCCTTGCTGATTTTGAAAGCTTTGAACGATCCCGCCGTGCACGTAAGACCAGGCAGCTCAAACGGATTTCTACTTGAGCTTCAATGAATTTCTACGCGACAAAAGCGATCCGGGTGTAAATATGATCAATCGATCAGCAAATAAATGAAAATCGTCGTGAAACCTCAGGCGGTTATACGTGTCAAGTGAAACGAATATTTGGCATTACATGGAACTGCGCCAATTACAGAAGATCAAAGGTTAAAGCCGTCAAGAGAAATCCGTCAGCACCAATAGAGATCAGGCCAGATTCCAGGAAGCCGAAAATCAGGTCAAATCCGAGCTAGAAGCTTCGCCTGATTCATTGACACATACGAAAGGTATACCTATATATACGTAGCATTCAATTAATCAACGCCTACGCGCCCCATCTATAACTATACGGCGCTTATAAATTATCCAGTCAAATAATTATCTCGTATCTTACCTGTTTGTGCATCTCCACGTTGAGTCCGTACGACATCTCGTAGTACTATAAAAACAAGATAAATTCGATTTAAAATTATATTGCCACATTTCACGCAATGCGTGTACACGTGTGCGTGAGTGTTCGTGTTGGTAGATGATAACAAGTGCCCCTGTATCCATGTGCATGCAGGATCGAAAGTTAAGGTAGCACGTAGCACATCACATATGTCCATGCAGACGTGTGTATTGTGTAAAGCCCACGTGACCAAATGTTCTCATGCATTGTGAATAAGTACAATAATACAGAGAGGTACAAAGAAGAGAGAAGAATACAAGAAGAAAAAAAAAAGAAAAAAAAGCATACAATAGAGAAAAATGAAAAATGAAAAATTACAAGAAAAAGAGAACAGGGCTCGGATAGAGACGTGCCTATCTGACGTAATGAAAGAATTTTACAAAAAGTATACGCTACCCCCGTCTGAGTGTAACCAGCAAATTTAAATTGTCTGAAATGAGGTAGAACGAGTCACAGTGGGTCTCACAAGTTCCCCTGCAAAATCAGCGCTACGTAAAAGAGAGCAAAGAGCACCGGGAGGAAGGACAAGAAATATACGTAAATAAACTCTGAGTCCCCAAGAAGTGAAAAAATGAACTGGTAATGACTACACTGCACAAGGCAATACGTGACGCGTGTACGGATGCACCCTGAAGACACACGTCTCCAGGTACAATATACAATACCTATCTACACACGCAGGCATGCAGACAGTGCGACAGGTTCCTCCTCGGGCCTCTTTCAAGTCCCATGAGTTTAGCGCGGGGCCTTAATTCGGGAGCAAGGGACAAGGGTATATCCTGACAAAGGAGAAGGAAGAAAGGAAGAGACAAAAGAACGAAACGAGAACAAAGTGCGCAAAGGTGAAAGAGAAGAAAACGAAGACGAGTAAAAAGTGAACGGGACTTGGGGGGAGGACTGGGGGGGCCCGGGAGTGGCATGAGAGGAAGCTCGAGGAAATTAAAATACATTCGAGGGTTTGGTGATAGGAGGGTAGCGGAGTGAACGGGGCAAAAGACCGGTTTCACGTAACAACGTTCCTACACCGTGTGTACAAGTCGGCCTATCGGATCACTTAACTAATTCTCTGCGACCCAGTGATTCTCAAATTGTTTGCGTGCTCCTGGCTTTTCGTTGCCGTTTAATACGTAGCCAAGATCTTTTATTTTTCGTCCCTTCGAAGATCCTGGCCTCTTGTACACGAGTGGAGACGTCAAGGCGAAATGGGAAAAAGGAGCTATGAAAAAATTCACGACGACAGTTTGTTGCGTGTAAATAAAAACGAATGTGAATAATCGTAAATTTATTCGTTTTTCGGTAGCTACGGCGGGTCGCCTTTGCAGAAATATGTTACATGCTGAATATCAGGTGTAGAACAGAGCGCGTAGAGAAAGGATATCTAATGTCTATACCGCGTTGTGGATAACTATCGTTGATAGTTATCGTGCTTGTACCACGTGTTGCGTGCAAGAGTTATCGTGGAATGGCTAAGTGTAGGCACTGATGTCTTATCGTCGTGGACGATTCGATATAGAAATGGAAAAACAATGTAAAAAATGAAAAACGCTGGTGAGAACCAGAGATATGAATTTTAAAAGCGATCAACTGAACGACAACGAAATTTATGGAGAGTGAGTTAAAATGGGTGATAATAAAAGTAAAAAAAAAATATTCGATCTTACCGAAACACGGAAACGGAAGGTGAACGAGGCCGCACGAAAATAACATTCGCGCGTGATTAATAATTTGAACGGGGATTCGAGACGATAGCAACTGCTTCTGTACTGTATTCACAGGGGACAAAGAATCGACGTCTCGTAGTAAAGCGAAGGGAGGAGAAAAAGGAAAGAAAAATATGAAGCGCAGGGACGGCGCGTAAATAAATAAAAGGTGTAAAGGCGGTGCGACGTTATGGGCCCGTAAGGCTGAGTGATGTAGAAAGGATTAAGGGATATGAATGGATGGAGGGAGAATGGCCGAGGGCGCGTTTGCTCGAGGGATAATTAATACTGAATAATTAAGGGGACATGAATCGCGCTTTAGGGGACCAGGGTAAAGGGCGGAGGTGGGAGTGGGGACAAACAAAAAGAAAAACACAAGCAACACGTCGATTAAAAGTGTTCCTCGTTAATCAAGGAAAAAACTCAAATAAATTATGTAAGGACTGTTGAGGGATTTGAATGTCGATCTACCTACGCCGAGAGAGAGAGAGAGAGAGAGAGAGAGAGAGAGAGAGAGAGAGAGAGAGAGAGAGTATTATAATGAGAGATGGTAGTAGATTTAGACAGGAGAGTACCAAAGGGGAAAGGTTTGGATGGCGGCTCTCGAATCTCCTTTGCAAAGTAATTGCCTTTTAATTAATGGACTCCAACTGCTGCCACGGTAGAATGTTAATTATCCCTTCAAAAAAGTTATTTCCGACATGTCGACCGCTCGAAAAATGAAAGCCGCCCTTTTATCTATTCATTACTTTGAGCGTTTAAAAATAACTGGGTACCGATAATCGAAAGTTTCTTAACAATCGTATCCAGCGGTTGCGATAGAAATAGATTCTGCGGTAGACAATTCTTTTTATAATTTGCAGAAAACACACAATTTTTGGATGAATTATGTTCAATGAAAAGTTCGCGAGAAATACGTTCTAACGGAAACGACTAAACAAGCGTAATGCGACTTCAACGATGAAAACTGCGACTCGTCTTTCTTTCGTAAATATTTGTCTTAGTTGGCGTAGAGAAATATTTTCGTTTCGTGTTTCTCCAAAGAATAAACTAGCGAATAAAAATAAATTGCGCGTGACAATAAAATGTAATTTATCGATCATCGTAATATACCAGTTCTAGCGAAACGAAAATCGCGATAGTTCGCGTCACGGGATGAAACCGTGCTAGAAATGAATCAAGCAACTGAAAAAAAAATCGAAATCCATAGTTCTCAACATTGTCTGCCATCCATCGGCAACGAAGATAATATTGAAAAATTACACGAAATATAACACCCGAGCCTAACCTAACCTGACATAAAACAAACTTATTGCGCATATCAATAACGTTTATCGTGAAACCTCTTAACTCTACAGACATAAATAATCACAATTAATTATCATTAAAAAAATCTCGATATTCAATGTCTTGAAATATTATTAAAAAACTTGACAAAGTCCTTTAAAACGTTCAATCCGTCGCCGTCCCCTGCATTCGACACGATTTCCGTGATGAAGAAAAATCGAAAAAATTTTCCAAAATTTTCCCACCAAATTTAAAAAAACCAAATTTAAGAACTCGAAGCGATCCCACAAAATGCAACTGTCTCTCTCCGCTGATAAAGAGCAATGAATATAAAATGCTCGAAAATGAACGGAAGCTCATGACCGTAGAGAACAGGATATAAACAAGGATGAGAATAAGGGCGCAAAAGTACGAGGACGGGCATTTCCTCGACGAGGTTCGAGACTCAAGCCGATCTGCGGCGAGTCGTAAAAGTTCACGAGCTCGACAATTACATGAAAGAGTCGTAAAAGTGTAATGCTCCGTCGCCATGAGCGTCCTTACCGTAGTAAAACTCCAGCCGTCTAGCATGGCGTCTTCAATTCGAAAACAAACCCCTTCGAGCGGCATAAAGGAGAAGGAACCAAGGAAGGGCCCCGGCCATTGTGCCACGCCGAGGAAGAAACAAGTCAGGGTGGATAGTGGATGGATGATCACGTGGGTTGAAGTGGATAGGGGGGTTAGGGTGGGACGAAAGAATCTAATGTCGCGAACCGGGTCAAACTACTTGGAAGCATCCCGAAGAGGAACCCGCGGGAAGACTGGTACATTTATTTCATCAAGCCCTGGTATACATTGCGGCGACTCCCCCGCTATACTAGAGCCACGTAACCCAGCTAAGTATAGGCACGTGGGGAAAGCGCCGGAGGGATAATGAGGTGGAGGTAGAGTAGATACGCAGGCACTGGGGTGACATCCAAGCAAGTCTGAAGATGCCTGTAAGGACGTCTTAGACTTTCATTCAACGTCTACGACAGGAGCAAGGCACAGAATCTAATTAGAAAAGAAATGAGCACCCACACCGGAAGCAGCCAAGCAACGTACAGGAAAAACACCCCAAAATGCCCGGGTAGTTTCTTTTCATTTTTTTTACAAAAAAATCCCTCCCACTCCCCTTGGCTATTACCCGATCATCACCCGAACGTCGATTACACGCGAAGGAATTTATAAATTTTTATTTTTCAAACATTTCCTTCTCTTTCTTTTCCCTCATCTCTTTTTTGCATGTCCACAGACTCACCATGACGTAGTGGCGCTGCATCTCCGTCTTCTCCTGGGCCAGTTTCTCCAGCTCCAATTTAATACTGGACAGAACAAGCAGGAAATTGCACGTGTAAGCTAGACATTAGTAAGTGCAGGCGACATTCAAAAGCCGTGGTTCTCTCTCTCTCTCTCTCTCTTTTTTTTTTTTCATTTACCTCAACTCTTTCTTTTTTTTTTTTTTTCATTTACCTCAACTCTTTCTTTTTTTTTTCTTTTAAATTCTCATTCAACCCTTTTCTCCTCTCTTCACCTTACTTGTCATTCTATATTCTTTTTTTCTTTCCCACCATTATTTTCGATTCTTTCATACGTTTCTTTTTTCCCGTCAAAGAGCGTAGTACAGAGTTGGCCTAAAAAGGCCTAAGGGTGGTAACGAGGGTGTGAAAGGGTAAAGTGGCAGAGCGAGTTAAAGAGGAAAGAATGAAAGAGCCGTGTAATCGATAGATCAATTCGGGTCAAGGGTCAGGATGGTTTTGAACCCTTGTAAAAGGCAAGTGACAGCCGAGCAGCGTGACGAGTGTCAAAGGGTGATGCAGGGGGTGTCAGGGGAGGTCTTCTGTAAATACTCCCCCGCATTCGTTTCCCTGTAGGCACATGGTGATAATAATAACAATAGCGACGACCCACCGAAAACAGTTACGAATTTGACGATGTCACAAGGTCACAACATGCCGTGATATTAACCGCGATACGTCACCCTGCTCGGGACGCTCGTCCACGGGGGCTTTGGTGGTTTGTAGTGCAGCCAAGCTGTTAAAACACGCAATTAGTGCAGCCGCAGCGAACATCGATAATAATTGTAACGACGACCGGTGTTAGTGTCCTCGTGTTTATACGCATATTCGTATACGTATATCTATATACTGTATATACGTATATTCATATGGGTGGATGCACCGTGTACAGGATGTACGTATGTACCGAGTGCCGTGGTAGCTGTTTGCCAGCGAACGAAACATATATATATATAGAAATACATATAGATCCAGAACGAGAACGCGAGATAAAGAGAAAAGACGAATATATCGACAGGAACGTCCAGAAAGGACGTATATACATATAGAGATGGGTCAAAGTTCAGGACGAGTAAGGAGACATTGACGTTAATTTCTGGAGTAATTCAATGCAAATCTATCGAATATTCTTCGGGAGGGGAGGGAGGTCAAGATACGAAAATATGCAAATTTGCAATGTAAATTGCGATTGGAATTTATGAATTGAAGGAAAGGAAATTGTGTAGACGAATGATATTGGATTACGGATTATTTTCTTTAAACAGATCTTTTTTTTTTTTTGACAATCTACAATGTCCATTTTATGTTGTTCGCATTGACACGTGTGTTTCGTTCAGCTAGCAAACAGACCTCCGACGTTCTCTGTCATCGTACGCGTCGCTTACCATCACGTAATGCCTCTGTATCTCTATTTTTTCACTGGCCAGTTTCTCGCACTCCAATTTAAGGCTGTATAGACAAGAAGAAAGCCATTAATTCATGTGGATATCGGCCCGAAGTGCGACATCGGCTGGAGAACATAGAAAGATCGCGATAATCCATGGCGTTGAAAATGTTTTTGGTCATGAAAAAGCGTATGGAAAAGCGTTTATCAGAGGTTGCGAGAAATTTTGAAAAAGGAACAAAAAAGTGCCGAAACGACCGGCTAAATTTTTATCATATATCACGGAATCAATTGACACTATTGTTTGTCGAGGTTTTAGTGGTGGACGAAAAATTTTGCTATAGCGAAATACGATTCTTTATTTTTGTTTGATGTGCCGAAATTTTTCATTGTTACTAGTTTGTTTTGCCAATGCAATTATTTTTTTGGTATGGCCAACGTTGATTCGATTATAGCAAAATGAGTTTGTTCGTCGGCGCAAAACTTGGCGCGTTTGCAAGAATGCGAAGAACTCGCATAGATATTGTACGGCTACGCCACAATAACAAAAATATTTTCTTCAGACAAATCATTTTTTCTCGAAAACGCGAAGTGTTTGGACCATGGATTTTCGTACGATTGCAAAAACATTTGTATGAATATTAAAAAATCTTGGAGCTACGATAACACGATATTTCTACGACTGTATCGCCGCACCTAAATTATACTCCTGTATAGAAAATGTACATTTTATATCCTGAAAAAAAAACACATTATGCATATATATATTTATAATCATTGCGAAGCATGAGATTCGATTGATTAAAGATGGAAAAAACGACCTTAGGAACGACCACGTTTGGCTCAATGACGAAAACATTAATTTTACTTAAAAAAAATATCAATAACAAGAATAATAATCGGCACGATATTTTTATACAGCAATACGATACTACACTCACAACCATGTTACAGTAGAGGTAGTAAAAGGTCTAGTAAAAGTTTCGTTATGAAAATCAAGGGCTCCTCGAGATCCTAGCTAGACCTGGACCGGCACAGTGGTGATCTAGAAAAGCCCTAGACAAAATGGTCCAGACAAAATTTCTATTAGAGTCGAGACAAGATGGAAACCTACAAGAAATATATCAGATTAGGACAACCCCAAAATAATATTCTGCTTGCTTATAACTTCGTAATTAAATTTCTATTAGGAATCCATAAATTTACAACGGGTTCCATCTTATCCTACCTTCCTTTGCACAATCACAGCTATTTCAGTAACGATTGGCCCAACCTCCAAGATCTCACGCTGAGCAACGATTACAAATATACGTAACGATATACAAAGGTAAATATAATATCAGCCATCTTGTTTCTCTTTTCTGCAACAAGAACGTGTAATGTCGATATTAAAGAATAACAGAAAAATACATATCTCCAGATGACGTCACACCAATCGATTCCATACCTGCAAACTTCAACGTCCGTTCAGCCAGCCCCCCCTCCCCACTTGTCATCAAATTAATTTAAAAATTATACAATTGTGCATTACACTCGTTTAGCAGAAAAAATGTATTCGTATGGGTGGGGGGGGGGCTAACTACGAAGTCTATCTAGCCCCCCCCCCCCCCCA